TTTACATTATTATACTATTTAAACTTTGTGATACATAATAATTATATTGTATTGAATTAACACAGTAAACGTTTTCATTAGCAGTGCAGTATAACGTAGTTTCTGTATCATGTATAATAATTGATGATTAGCACGATTATATTATATCATTAAATTATTATGATAGAATAATTATCATTTTCGTTGACGTTACGTCTTCATTAACCGCTGCAACGTTCTATGTTTTAATTGTTTTATAAACTTCACTATAACTTTATGACAAAATAAAAACGCATGACGATTTTGAACGACTGCGGCAATTGAAATGGAAACGTTCACGCGGAGTAAAACGCGATATGATTATTATTATTATTATTTTTTTCTATTTGAACGTGTTATTTAATTTTCTAGAGTAGGTACTATATGTATACATACATATTATATAACATAATAGGGAAAAATGGCATGTCACTAAATAACGATCCCGAATAATACATTGCACGCTCTACATACACAGTACACACACATACACTTTTAGACCATAAACATACTATGATTAATAACGGAGCATGCACTACTATGGTGCGTGTAGGGGATACGCAAGGGGGTTGTTGATCTTCATCAAGCATTACAAACCCTTATGCGCCCTAACTCCTCGTACACGCCGCGTCGCTCAACCCCGCAGAAGTAACATTAAACGTTTCGTGACGTATCTATTTAAGACAAGTGCAGTTTTTCTTTTAAACAAATTAAATACTTGCGGTTATTAATGTATTACGCCATGCTATAGTGCATACTTCAATGGCTGATGAAATATAGACACTACTTACCTGTTTGTTGTAAACTGTTGAAACGCGGAGAAATAATATAGCGATAATATAAATAGAGGCGAACAAATGAATAGATTTTTCCTTCGCAAAGCGATCGTACGTATATATAATATTATATGAGACATGAAATCCCATTTTGACATTTTCAGTAAGTAGATATACGCCACAGTAAATTGGTCATTAATTCTTATCGTAGATTAAATAAGTGTGCTCGTCTAATTTTATTTTTCATTATTTTAATCCTCTGATAACTTATTTATAGAATGTTGTTTCAAATGTATTGATTTATATCATTCTTCGAAATTCTTCATAAATATTACTCAATACGACTATTCTCATCGGCATCGGATATACCTGGATATATATTATGTCTAAAACAATATAAAATACAGATTTAGACTCATAATACAATATTAATAGTAGTTCAAGTATGACATAATAGATTTAACTCGATTTCTCAGTACTTATTTATCTTTATTCTTTATGCACTTTCCGATACGAAATAATACCTATACGGCATCATATTCGTGTAATTAATCTATGTCGGACCTAAGCCTGTCTTAAATTCATGCACTTCGTATTTCTAAATATAATATTATAATATTATTTTATTAAATTATTATTTATTATAACAACTTAAATGCCGGACCAATCGAGTAGTAAGCATCTCTCATAGATTACTCATAACTATTACAATGTATATGTTTTTAGATTTTAGTCGTTATCGAATTAAATCAATAAAATTCCGTTCAAAAGATAAAACTAATTTAACATTCATGACATATATGACGAACGTTCTTTTTTATGCTTTTTACAAAACGTATTACCTACACTTTTGAAAGCGTGTCTGCGCGTATAATGTATGTGGGTATAAAATTAAAATCGATAATACTTACTATAACCGCTGAAACTCGATTCGCTGTGCTTGTATTCGTTAAGTTCCGTAATACTTTTTTTAAACGAGCATTGATTCCACAAAGAGTTTTGAAATAACATTCTTGAGAACTTAATGTCTCTGCGAACGTTATGCAGGTCACATAATAAAACAACCTGTGGAATAAAATTTAAATCGCGTTTTAATTCAAAGAAGGGCAATTATAATTTTTAATTGATTTAAGTGCTGCAGAAAAATAATTGTTTGAATTATTTTCTTTTTTAATCAGATGCACGTGTAGGCGAGTAATTATTAATATATTTTTACTTCGTTAATATAGCAGGCAGTTAAAATAATTTTTTTAAAAGAAACCTACTCAAAAAGTTTATCGTGATATATTATATATCTTTCTACTCTTGGACAATAATAACGTGAATACTGAATATATAGGCTAACTGCACGCACTATGTTTTTCATTATAAAATGATATAAAACACTTTAATATAAAATGTATAGTAACAAATATACCTAAACACACAGTAACATGATATTATATTACATTATATTTTCCGGTCGATCGTTTCTCATTGTTAAGTCGTACGGCCAAAGCAATGTAATTTTTTTCAAAAACTAACAAGCTAGGCTGATTGACGATTTTCGTGAACAGAATCGTAAGACCTACAGAATGTGCACTCTCGTCTAAAATCTAATATATAGTCGATAAACGCGAAAATAAATAAATATTAAATCCCGTACATTCGAAGCGATATAGCAGTGTATAATCACATACAGTATAGAATTGTGAACCGAGACATTATTCGACTATGAGTATATTTAAAAATTATTTTTTTTTTACAAAACAGTGTGCTGAATGCTGATGCATATTTATATAAACGACCCGGTATCACAACTTACACATTACAGCAATATAATTTACTTTGTATGACTTATAAATTATAATAACAGTCTATAAAACATTTTGATATAATATATGCGTTCACATGCACATTTTCTATCTAGTCTCTCTTAGCATGATATAGGTGGTAGTATAAATGTTCATGTCGTCCATGTGTAAAAAACTAGTAGCAAAAGTAAACACATTACACACATGCATTCTCTAATATAAACGACTAATACTTTCCCCTCTTTTGAATATACAGTCGTTTATAGGTACCTACCTCTTTGTGCCGCGTCAGACTAATTATAAATAATAACACGCTCGTAAAGTTATGATATTAAATACGTTTTCAAGCTGCATACGCGGGTGACTAGGTCAAATAAATATAGTAACTTTGAAAACACCGTGTTAATTATTCGTTGGCAATACAATTCAGAACTTTATATCATACACTTATATACCTATACATCGAAGTATACTTAAATTAGATTATTCATACACAATCAAAAATGGCAAAACCGAATAATGATACAACGATAAATTTTTAATAAGCAATTAAATAGTTAATTATATTTTATAGAACGATTTTTGATATATATTTTTTTTTTTTTTTACAAACGAGAAAACTGTGCCGGGGTAATCCACCAACTAATTGTCTATATTAAATATCTATAATAAGTGGGACATAGGTACCTACATCAATCAAAATCGTTATTTCCCATATAATCTTATTTAGATATGTTCGACGTTTTCAAAACTTCAGCTACAATTTCTGCCACCTTGCCCCCTTCCAAAAATTAAACGGTCTCGGAATTTTGTTTTTTTAATCAGTCGTGACGAAATTGATACGTGTCTAGTTGATCCGCTTAAAATCTAAACAGATTATATAATATTATATATACACTGTACCGTTTAATACACATCATATAACCGAATGGCTTTTATCTCAGTCGCGTGTAACAGATGAATAACCCCGGGCTTACGCTAAAATTCGAGACAACGCGTTATGAATACTGAAAAGGCCATACTACTACACCAGCTTTTTAAGGGGTTTGGTATAGGCAATTGCAATAGAATATTACATGCATAAATATTAATTCAAAGTAACTTTTCAGTTCCATTTTTGGTTAATTAGAAAATTATACTAAAAAACAATTATGCGTTGAAAAGACCGAGAAGGACCAAAAGTTTACAACATTGCGCCATGTCAATTTTATTTTTTCAATATCGCTTTTACGGAAAAAAAAATTATTCCAGTTTGATAAACATAGATGGGTTTTATAACGACCATAAAACTTTTTTTCGAAATAGTGATATCGATTTATATACATAATATATTTTGCTGTCAAATAAGTTTTCCTCTTTGTACGGTATAAATTTGGTTTCTAACTAAACAGGCAAATAAGATTTGCAAAAGGTTTTTAGGTGAAATGTGTATAACATTTTAAGCTTCTATTTTTTGATTTTTAATATCATGAATAATTGCGCATAACGTTGTGTACAGTAAAATATGTTTGTTGTAAGCAACTTCAATATTACATCGTGTTATAGCCAATTTTATTTCATTTTTTATTATTACGTTTGGACGCGCACAAGTAATTGGAACACGCTGTACTTCTTTTATTTTTAAACGATGCGATTTTATTTTTATTTCTCATCGTATCGTAGCGATGGATGTTTAAAAATTTTTATGACTATCGAGAAGGTTATTTTTAATTTCATAATGTTCTAGAGCTAAATAACACTAGAAAGTATTTGAATGGACAAACCAAACACCTACTCTAATAAATATTCTGCTTGAATGTGTTTTGAATTAAAACATATGAATATTGCCGTTTGGGTAGAAAAAAACCTCTTTCGCTGTGATGTAAAATCATAAGAATTGATTTACATTAGGCAATAACATTGTGCGTACGAAACTATTACCAACAAACGAAAAAAAGTTATTGGGAAAACTTCGAAAGCATCGCACTGTTGCCGATAAGTGCGCAGCATAATATAATTAACGTAAAAACACGCTAGGGACTCGATCGTTGCTTATAGGACATGCCAATTTTCCCTGAAACGTTTTACGCGCGTAATAACATAAATACATCACACTTTAATGCATTAAATTACACACACACACACACACACGCACGCATACACATAGACTACGTAATATAGGCATTAAATTGTTTTTGCGTAAATAATAAAATATAAACACGTGATGTTATAAATTTTATTGAACGACCGTATTTAAAATTTAAAATTTAAAATTAAAAAAAAAAAAAAATGATATAACATTTGAGTAGTACGTTTTGCGTGTAGAGCGGTCTGGTGCATACGTATATTATTATACAGTGTAATATTACGCGTAGTCCTATATAGACTTGTCGAGTGCAACGTTTTTTGTTAATCGACCACGACCGTGTTTCAGGGTGCAGCCGAGCTACCTGTACCAAGCCGGTCAAGCGGCCAGCGCAGCGTACTTGGGCGGCGGCGGCGTCATGCCGCTGGCCCCGACGCATGCCGCAGCAATGGCCGCGGCCACGTCGCAGTTCTACGAGTACCAGAACGCCGCCGCGGCTGCAGCGGCCGCAGCGGCTCTGTCGTCCTATCCGTCGCAGTACGCCGCCGCAGCTGCAGCGGCTGCATCGTTCGACCCGTACACATCAGCAGCCGCAGGTAAATATTGACAACGTACTATAATATGCAACGGAGTGCACTACAAGAGCGAATAACCCCCCCGTGCCGTGTGAAATCAAAAATAGGCACCAAAACCGAGAAAAACGAACGATTATTCCACAGTGGCTATTAAACAATACGTTTCCGTATATAAACTAATATTATATATTGTGATCACCGCTCTATTCTACACCGCGTACATTCGTGGTAACGCAGCACGAGGTTTTTCATATCCCCCCCTTCCTCCCTCAGCAAAAGTGCGTGGGTGATTTATATACTAAACCATTTGGGGTAACTTGGCGAGTTCAGTTCTAATTCCGCAAACCGACTCACATCAAGGAAAAGTTTTTAATGTCTGAAAAATCACCACTTTATCCATTTTATTGTTCAGGCGTAGCGATAGTCGCTCTGAGCATACACCTCGCATGTACGGAACGATTCTCTCATTGCACACCACCACTGGATATTCTTTATACCGCGATCCTGTCCTAAGCTAACTTTACCTTGCTAGTTAACTTCAACTTTTAACCTTTAAAATAGTGTGCAGTGTTTTACTTTTTGAACGCAACAACTAATATTATAGTTATCTTACGTTCCTTTATACGGGTACGCGTAAACGATCTTGGACCAAAAATAGCGATCGTTTAATTTTAAAATCATTTGTTTTGGATCAAAAAAAAAAAAAATAGAAAAATATTAATAATAATTTATAAAAATTTCCGTATACGTAATATTTGTGCAAATTGTGTAAAACTTTCATCAATATGACTACCGTCAAACGTTTTCATCGATATATCGTCAGTGACGGTTTACCCATATATATATATATATATATATATACAAATTAAACGATTTACCTGTAAGGCGTAAATTGCAGTATTGTAAATCTATTTGGAAATCGTTCAAAACCCGAACGGAATCCGAAATGTTGGTACCTTTCCGAACATAATACTACTTTAGAAAAGTATATACCGATTGGGGGAAAAAAAAGAAACTTTTCGGCAAATCATTATGTAATGGTTGTGCGGTATCTGCTGCAATAGTGTATCACGCGAAACAAAACCAATCGTTCGATAAATTACGCTTTTCCATTTCACCTTTTTTTTTTTTTTTGCCATCCCGCCCCTCAGCTACATAAATACATAATATTATACATTACACCGTATTAATATTTTACTTTTATAGTGCTACATGTAAATCACCCTACATAATAAAATATATTAAACGCACTCCGATCAAAAAACGATCAAGACAGTATTCTCGGCATACCTATACCGACGGCGTACGTCATTACCGCAATGTCGCGTGTGCCGTGCGTGTTTTCCGTCCCGCAAATCATAATATCGCGACAATATAACATTATCACGACACGACATTACGATGATAGTGCCGTCGTGCGATTGCATTATACTGGTCGGTGTGTTGGTTGCGATGTGTCTAACGACGATTTTTGAATTTTTTCCACAGCCGGAGTCGCCAACTACGCCACGCCGTATTCCTACGCGGCGCTGCCCAGCAGTACTGCGGGTCTGCCGACAGCCGCGAGCTCGGCCAGCGCGTTCACCGGCCTGTCTCCGTACACGGCAGCCGCCGCCCAACAAGCGGCGTCGCTGCAAGAAGCTCGATTGCAGTAGCATTGTCAATTCAAAGCAGCCCGTGCCCTCCGTCCTAGATTACGAATTTTTCAGAGTCAGGGACATCGGTAGTGTGTCGTCGTCGTCGTCGCCGTTTGTCGACAGGCAAACAAAAAAAAAAAAAAAAAATTTTTTTTTTAATAAATAAAACTTAGGAATATGTTCGATTATTAATTATTAACAACATAAAACGTAATACTAATATTAATTGTAAAATAATACGTCATATTATACATATAAATATATATATAATATATAAAGAGAGAGAGAGAGAGAGAGAAAAAAATGAAAAAAAAAAAAAAAAACTATATCGTCGTCAAAAACGAATTTGTCTACAGCTTACCAAAAAAATTATTATTATTATTATTGTCATTATTAATATTGTTTAATAATGATGAAAACCTTAGACTATAAGTATATATTATATTATATAGATAATAATTATTGTAATAATATTAAAAAACTGTCGTGTAGTGTTTAGGTAGTGGCTGACGTCACGATTAAGCCCGCGGTATAATATGTGCATTAAAAATTAAACCGAACTAGCTTTTAGTCCATGTTTATTAAATTTGTTTGTGGACCATCATGTCGATCACTTATTATACTATTGTGTATTTGAATATACTACGTAGATAAAAGCGATGTACGTAATAAAAATCACTCGCGTATTAATGTACAATCTACCGTATTTGTGTTTTTCACTCGGTCAATCTTCATCCTTCGGGTGGGGGGGGGACGAAATCTACAAACACGGCTATTCGAAATCACATATTTTTATATATCGACGAGATACCGACATACCGTTACCAATTTATGATCGTGACCGACGCAAAATATTGTAACCATACCTGATTTACCTATACGAATGATATTATACGAGCCTATATTATATTATACAGGTTACGACCGTGCAATCGCATCTCGAGCGCATAAATTATGTATTATTATATTTTGTTTAGTTCAATTTTATTTTATTCAATTTTATTATCTATTTTTTTTTTCGATTATTTATTTAATTTGTGTACGCAAATTATTGTTTGTTTAATAATACTTAAGATTTTAATTTATTTTATAGCGATCGGAAATCGTAGCAATTATCCGTCACGTTAATCCTAGACAATTATTATTTTTGGACAATTAAAAGTCGAAACATTAAAGACCTAGGTATTATATTTTATAATGATTATAAATTGGTTCAGTAAAATACATTTTGTGCCAAACATTAAAAAATATTGGGCAGTTTAAATGTGATATATTTGATAAACTAACTAGCAACTATCCCAAAGTAAAAGTGCAAATAATTATAATATTTTGTGCAAAAAAAAACCCGTGGATAAAATTGTTAAAATTAGTCGAAAACCTGCTGATTAGTGGGTATAACGTATTATACATGGATAAAATTTATGTATCTTAACTATATAACTTATATTATAAGATAAATATCATAATTAATTACGATTAATACATATTTATATTAAAATAGCCATCTAATTATTTATATACTAAGTGGTTATTGTTTTATTATATATATTGAAAAAAAAATTGAAACATCTAAATAACTTTTTTTAACGTATAAATTACGATCACGTACTATAATACTATATAATTAATATGTTTTTATTTTTATCCGTATAATTATCGTAAATATATTTATTTAAAGAATTATTGATAACAAATATAATATTATATATTATATTATATATGCCTAGTCTATAATGTAATTTTATTTTTTGTTTTACATTTTAGGTTAGTATATAATTATAAAGAATTTATATCATAATTTTAATAACAGCCACGCATCTCTAGTCATGTGTACAATAAGTTTATTAATCAATTTTAATTTTAAGAGAAAATATTATTATATATGTTTATAATTAGTTAACTTAATATTATTGTCACGTATCTATACATTTGTATAATATTATATAAACGTATTTTTATGTCATATATACTACATAAATATATTATTATAAATAGGTTTATTTTATACATGTTTAATATTTCTAAGGTGATATATTTAACGTCAAATCTATTAACCAAGCACAAGGTAAAGTAATCAATTTTTATAAAAACAATTATTTAGGAACATTTTTCTCGATTTATATAATAAAATAGTCAGAGGCAGCCATTTTCCAGATTATGTGTTGTACAAACAGAACCACTCCTTTCCGGGTAGCTCCGTTAAAACTCATCAATGATTTTTTATAAATATTCGAGCTTACGTTTAAAAAAGAAATTACAGGAATTTTGTTTTCTATTTTGAGCATTTATAGATTATAATAATATTTTAAACTGGTGCCACCATCTCGTCATATTGTATAATATTTCTTATTTTCTTCCCATATATTTATACTATGTATAACAATCAAGCTTATAGTTCGTTTTTTTACTCTATGTAACACACACTTACAATGGATAAAACTCTAATTTATATATAATATATATAAAAAAAGACTGATGATTGTTTTTTTACACTTAGAGCCAGTTAAATATTATTATGAGTGTTTTTTCTAGCGTCTAGGTAGAGCGATGTCGACCAGATTAAAATTGTAATTCCATTTTTAAATGTAGTAGTATTGTATAGTATTTTTCTAAAATCGGGGTAAATAAATCGAATTTGTTTTATTGTAGAACAAAATTAACATTTTTTTTTACCGTGATTTATACTGTTGGCGCGATTGTCCATATTATGTCAATAAATAATAATATTATAACTATGAAATTTCCCTTCGCGTAAGCCGTAATCGATTATATTGTATATTATTGAAAATTAGGTATTTAATCGATTTCAAAAAAACGGGTGTTTGAGCCCCGCCACCTCCACTCCGGTTCAATCAACTCTATAAATGACCTGTACCATAATATAATAATATAAACATAATATACTTCCATGATAAAAACAAAGTTAAATGTACAAAATAAAAATAATTTTATTATATATGTTCAATCTGGTGTGCCTTGTAAATTACATAAAAGTGAATAAAAAATAAAAAAAAATAAGAATAATAGATGTATATTTTGATATATAAAAAATTGAGTAAAAAAAAAAAAAAATCGATAGCATTGACGTTTATCTGTGTACATTTAATTCTATTGTTACATTGATGTATTAACTATACGATAACAATAATAATAATAAACAATAATAATTATTACTCATTAATCTGACAGATTTCATATTATTTTTCGACTATAATATTGTAAATAATATAATACTAACTGGATGAATAAAATATGACGTGTTTTGTGTACTTAACAATTTTTAAAACAGAACTACGATGTATAAACATATCGAAGTTAATTTTTTTAAAGAAAATTTAATTAAATATAATATAATTTCACGCGGCTATTATCAATGTTAAAATTAATAAGATTTAAAAAAAAAAAATAAATTTAGTACCTAGTTATTGTTGGAAAAACCTAATAATACAAATAACCAACGGTGAAGCTAGTCATATGGGAAATATTCCGGTGCACCATATTTTTAAATTTAATGTACCTATTTAACATTGTATGATATAAGAATATTATTATTATATTATAAAATTATTAAAAATGATTAGACATGTAAGCTTATATTATAATGTGGTGATAAATTATATCACATTAGAATAATATAATATATATATATAAAAATTCGATGGAATTTAGTCAATATTAATGGTTAATTTTAAGACATAGTTGTATAAATAAATTAAATACATGTTTAAAAATTGATTTTGTTCTATTTTTTTACCTAAACTATTAATAAATAATACATACATATAAATGTGATATAAAAACATGTACATGTTTACTATTACATGGATATTATGTATATTATAATATTAGATCCTTAAATCCTTCACTGTCATTTACAAACTTTAGCTTAATTTTTAATCCTAAGCATAAAGTAGAAACTGAATAAAAATTATATTGTACCCATTTGTAAAATATTTTTAAACAACATTAAAGCGTACAATAATTTTTCTGGTGAAATTGGTCGATAAAATGCAGCTTACAAAACAGATTAAAGTTAGTAAAAAACATTATATGGAGTAGCATACACATTCGTAATTTGCTAACGTATTTCGCTTTATATCATCCAATATAACTCACTCATGAACGAAATTCATATTTTTAAGAAACCTGGACCTGGACATGTGTGGAGCGTTGAATGTATTGATTTAACAATGATGAGTATTATAATTTATTTTATTTTCATTTTTTTTATTGTGATTAAAAAATAAATAACTGTGGAGACATAGTATTCCATTGAATATTAAAACTAGAATTAACTATACACTATACAATTTTTCACTATTTTTAAATATCTAAATTTTTCAACTTTTTAAAATACAAATATATTCGATATATATAATGGTATCTTTATTTATGAATAAGAAAACTTAAAAATATAATACAGTATACCTATTATGTTAAAATATAAAGATTAATTTATCATGAATTCTTTAAAAAAAAAATAAAAATGATGTTAAGCCACGAACATTTCTTATGAGCGATTGAAGTTAAAACGTTAACAACATTTAATATTTTAAATCACTATACTGCAGGTTATTAAGAACCTAAATCTAACTAAATATAACATAGAAAATTCATAATTTAGTTTAAAATTACCGAATACAAGTTATAAGTCCCCTACCTACAATTTTAAGACTATTCGAAAATAATATCCAACTAGATAGACGAATCGTGTCTTATTATAATATTCTTATTTATATTAAAAGTGAACTACTCTCGTGTTTGCAGATTTACCACCGAACAATTTTATAACCCTTAAGTGTTATCTATGTTTTATATTATAATCAACGATTATCTTTGAGTATTGTGTAGAAGAAAATATGTACAAACTGTCAGGTATTAGAAATACACATAATTTAATGGTCTCTACATAGTATCGGTAGCAATACCGATAATTGTATCGTAATCACATTAACAGTTTTAAATAAATCTCCACAATTTTTTACGATTTATATAATTCACTTTTTTATTACCTTTTCAACCTCGAATCAAGTTCCAGTTGAAATAGATAAATATAACTATATACATTAAACATAGTCTAGTAGTAATGTTCTAATTGCACTCGATCCGATCAATAACTTTACTAAATAATGTAACTAATTTAAAAATAAATGAAAATTACAATATAT